AAAAATACTTAAAAAACGATGGTACTGAATATGAAGCTAACAGTAATGTGCAATTAGCACAACTTCCTCTGATGTATCTTGATCCTAGAAATTTTAAAAATTCAAGACTAATGTATGTATTAAATCTTACTAGACAACTGGATAATGTTAGTGGAAATAGAAATAATATTATTTTGAGAGCAGAATTTAATGAGGAAGTACCGAATGGTACAATTTGTTATATTTGTTTAGTTTCAACTTCTGAATTTACCTACGATATTGTTAATAATACAATTAGAAAAAATATCTCTTTTTTATTGTAATATAAGAAAAATATTACTTCTTGGTTTTATTTATTTATTTTTTCCAAAATATATCAAAACAAGAAGTAATCACAATAATAAAAAAATTATTTAAGTTTTTATTAAATTTCTTAATTATTTAAAAAACAATACTCATATTTTTATTGTAATATAAGAAAACAAATATAACTTTTTTAATTAATTAATTTTTTTTTTCAAAATATAATTAAAAAAATATTTAAGTTTTTTAATTAAATTAATTTATTATCTTAATTATTGAAAATAAAAAAAAGCCGATCTCGTGATCCCGAGGTCGGGTTTTTTATTTTAATATATAGTACATTTTATACTTATTTTTATTATATAATATCAATAAAAATGAATTTATTATGTTAATAAATACGGAAAAAGAATTTTTAGAACCAATACACTGTCATAAATGGAAAAAGAAAACTACAAATTTTAAACCAATCAAGTTTCAAACGACAAATGGTTTATGGAGAATTTCAACACAATGTTTAAAATGTAAAATAAACAAAAGTAAATTTATTAAAATTCCTTTAAAAAAATAAACAATCTCAAAAATAAAATTTGAAAAAATAACAGAACAAGATAAACTAAGTATTGCAAAAAAACTTCATAAACCAGTAAGATCTCGATTTCCAAAAAGGAAAATAAAAACATATGGTATTGATGATACAATATAAAATTGTATAATACACAAAACGACGAAAAATTTGCAATTATTGAACGTTTCAACAGAACTTTAAATGGTAAAATGAAAATAGAGTTTGAAGTTCAGCAAAATAGAAGATGGGTTGATATTTTACAAGATTTATTGAACGAATATAATTTCAAAGATATTCATCGAACAATTGGAATGATACCATTTGAAGTAAACAAATTTAATGAAGAAAAAGTTTTAATTAAATTATTCCCTAATGAAATATCTAAATCAAAAATTAAATTTAAGATTATTGATAGGGTTTGAATAAAGAAGTTGAAAAAAACGTTTGATAACAAATATAATTCTAATTGGACACAAGAAATTTTTATTGTTACAGAAGTATTGAATACAAATCCAATTACTTATAAAATTTAA